GCCCGGCCTTGACTTTTATGTAAGAAGAAATTTCTAAGCAGCTAAAGCTATCTCTCAGTAGAATCAGCTGCCTGTTGAAAACTCCAGAACTGTATGTATGCAAGCAGCATTGGAGTGTCCTTCTCCCAGAATGTTGTAAAATGCATTTCTACACAGGGTGTGGGGTTGGATCCTGAAGCCTCTTTCACACTGGAGAAGAGCTTGCTGCTGGCAGAGCTGACAGATAATACAAGTGTAGAACAGCGTGGCACTTTCTCATAAGATCTGGCTTTAGGTTTTGTTTTTATTTTTAAGACTGACTAAACAGTGCTAGACTCTTGGAAAATAACAAGGTAAAGTTGTCTTTATCCTTCACAATAAAACCTTTGAAAAAACTTACTTCTAACTACTCAGACTGATATAAAACTTAAGTTTTTATACATGGGAGGGACTCTGGTTAAGGGTGTAGGGTTCTGGGATCAGCCAGATCTGTATTTGAGTCTTAGTTCTGTGGCATCTTTGCTGTGTGACCTTGGGCTAGTTGCTTTGCTATTGTATGCCTCAGTTTCCTCATCTGGAAAATGAAAGTAGTAAGATCATCTCCTTTGAACAGTTGTTAAGATTCTGTAATGCCACAAAGAGTGCAATGCGTACCACCCGAAGGATGGACATATTTGAAACTCAGACTGGGGGGGGGGGGCAAGAGCAGCGTATGTAACCTAAACATTTATACCCCCATAATATGCTGAAATAAAAAAAAAAAAAAGATTCTGTAATGCTTGTCTGACACGTAGTAAGTGTTCCTTAAATGTTTATTATTTGACGGAGGGAGGATTAGGGATGGGGATGGTTGTTCAAATAAACATAACCTCATTTTTAAATTTTTCTCAGTGGAAACACAAGAATAGAAGAGGCATGTGAAATGTACACCAGAGCTGCAAATATGTTCAAGATGGCTAAAAACTGGAGTGGTATGTACAAAGTTTTCGTTTGTTTGCTCTTCAGGCAGATGCTTTAAAATCACTTCGAAGGACGAAATGACTGTATTCCCTGAAAGAATAAGACTCTTGGCCCCAGAGACAGGCGTTGGTACTGAATAACTCATGTGGCCACTGTGTACGGGAACTGAAGGAGCGTGCTCTGAATGAACTAAACTTAAAAGCCTGACTTAAGTTCAAGCACAGGGACAATGTCTGTCTTACTCTCTATAAAGCACCTAATACAATAGGTATGTGGTAACTAAAAAGAGTTAAAATTACTTGGAATTAGAAAGCATAATCTTTGCTTCTTACTAGTGTGCTCAAATAAATACAGTGCCATAAGGAATGAAAGTTGGAGTAAAACTCATTGAAAACTAGTGGGATAAATAGAAATGCCTCGTTTACTTTACCTGAACATTGGTTGAGAATTTCTAACCATTCTCTGAGATAACTGTGATTTCACTGAGAACTGTGACAGTGGGGTGAGGGGGTTTACATAAACCTCAAGAAGACTCATTATTTTTTAAAGCAATGCTTTCTACCCAGTGAGATCACATGTAACAAAATCCACAGGATCATTCTTTTCATTGATCTGAGGGGGGCTGGCTCTTTCTAACACTGATTTCAGAGAGAAATGTATTCCCCTCCTCATGGCAAAGAGACTTTACATGGCTTGGTGATGGGGTATTTCTGTTGTGAAGATAGAGACCACTTTTGACTGGAGCAGGGGACGTGGGTCTGGGGATCTATCTCACAGCTGCTGCGGGACTGAAAGTGGGTCCCTCGTTCTCTACAAGTCATTTTCCCATTTGCTTTTAAGGCATATACTTTAAAATCATTTTAAAGGAGAAAATACTTTTGAACTAGATGAATCTGAAAGATTTCTTCTGGCTCTAAAGTTTTTTTATAAGTTTAGTTTTAGATAAGACTTTATTTAGTTAAAAAGAATTTTTTGGTTTTTTTTGAGTCAGAGTCTCACCCTGTTGATCAACCTGTCTAAATGCACTTATGTCTGAATTATATTGTATTTTTCACAATGGAAGAGAAAATAGTTTTGTCTCATCATCCCATTTTTCGTTTTGTTCAGATCCTATAATCATAGATGAAAATCTAAAGAGACCACTTATTATTTATTGCATCTGGTGATCAGATATTCTAGCCTTTGGAAATTCCATTTCAAAGAGGCCACTTATCATTTATGTAGCTAAGGAGGCTTTGTGTGTATCCTTCCCTCTTCCCCAAAATGATCTGTTGCTTGGCGTGATGCTCTCGGTATAGCCTCCTGAAATCTCCATGGCTTCTGTGCTTTCCCAATCTGTTTTAGTGAAGCAACATAACACAAGTTATGTCTGGTTGTATCAATCCAGATGAGAGCTGACTTCCTAACAGTGACTTTCAAGGACTGTCCCTTTCCTTTCTCTGACCTCGTCTCCTACCCACTCCCCTTTATGTGCCCAGCTCCTACCTCAGAGTCTTTGCATGTGCTGTTCCTTGTCTGTACACTCTTTCCCTCGACAGAATGTGGCTGGTTCCCTGCTTCCTTCAAGCCCTTCAAGTGTCATCTTCTTAGTGAGGTCTTCTCCTTTTTCTAAAAAAATAGCAACATTCTCCTTCTGGGACATTTCCTTTCCTTTTCTCCAATTTCCTTATCACCATCTAGCAAAATAAGTTACAGGCGGGGCATGGTGGCTCATGCCTATAATCCTAGCACTCTGGGAGGCCAAGGCGGGAGGATCGCTTGAGCTCAGGAGTTCGAGACCAGCCTCAGCAAGAGTGAGACCCCCATCTCTACTAAAAATAGAAAGAAATTAGCCAGGCAACAAAAAATAGAAAAAATTAGCTTGGTGCGGTGGTACACGCCTATAGTCCCAGCTACTTAGGAGTCTGAAACAGGAAGATTGCTTGAGCCCAGGACTTTGAGGTTGCTGTGAAGTAGGCTGACGCCACAGCACTCTAGCCCCGTCAACAGAGGAAGACTCTGTCTCAAAAAAAAATTAAAATTAAATAAATAAATTACATAGTGTTTTATTCATTTATATTTGTTTTTATTGCGTGGTGACCCTCATTAAGATGTAAACCTTGGAAGGCCAGGATGTTGTGTGTTTTATCTCTGCTGTATCTCCAGGGCCTGGAGTAGTACCTGCAACATATTAGATGCTTAGTACATTTGTTGAGTGAATGAATAAATATTAGACTCTTCGAAACTATGTCCATGTTGCAGTGGTGGCGATTGTAACACCATTGCATCTCTTTATAGTTTTAGAAGTTCTTTTATAATGGTTAAGCTAATTTATTTGATACTCACCTTTTGAGAGATTATGCCGATAGGTATTAGACCAATTTTACAGGTGAGGAAATTAAGCCTGAGAAGTTGGGTGACTTCCCAGAGGCCATTTAGTTTAACATATCTTCCTTTAACTATACTTCCAAGTTTGGAGAAACTGAGCTGGTATTTGTTAGCAGTACTCAGAGTGAAAAAGTAAGCCAGCTGCTACTTTTAAAAGGTAGGAACATGAAAATATCAAATTAAAGTGCTTACTGTTGTCTGGGGAAATGGGGTAGCCCAAAAGAGCCTGGACGTTGTGGTATTACAACTCGGCAAGAAAAGGATGGATCATGATTGGTTCTGGGATAGGAAACATAGATAAACTATCAAAAATGAAATGCTGACAGGAGAGGAAGAATGTAGGTTGTAAAGAAATGATGGCATTTGGCCGGGCGCGGTGGCTCACGCCTGTAATCCTAGCTCTCTGGGAGGCCGAGGCGGGCGGATTGTTTGAGCTCAGGAGTTCGAAACCAGCCTG